TAGTTGTTAAGTTTTGGGAAAGCCAAAAGTTATAGATAGATTTTTGACTGCACAATGAGTTCATGCCCCTAACCCTTATGTTGTTCAAGGGCCAACTATATTTGTGCCTGGCTTATTTCACTTAACGTAGTGTCCTCTAGGTTCATCCATGTTATCTCAAATAGCAGGATTCCCTTGTTTTTTAAGGTTCTATATTTATAACCACGCATATAATATATATATAATATATAATATATATATCATATATTATATATTATATATATCCAAACACATACACAGACATCACATTTTCTTTATTCATTCTTCTGTCTGTAGACACAGGTAGTTTCCGTATCTTGGCTATCATGAATAATGCTGCAGTGAACACAGGAGTGTAAATATCTCTTTGAAATACTAATTTCATTTCCTTTGGTTATATACTCAAAAGTAAGATTCTTAGATTGTATTGTAGATGGATCCAAAGAGAACCACATGGAGACACATTATAGTCTAATTGTCAGAAGTTAAAGAGAGAATTTTGAAAGCAGCAAGAGAAAAGTCACTTGTATACAAGGAAGGCCCATAATATTATTAGCAGATATTTCAGCAGAATCCTTGAAGGCCAGAAGGGTGTGGGATGTATACCCGGCTAACCAAGCTGCTATACCTGGAAAAATTATCTTTCAAAAGGGAAGGGAAGATAAAGATAAATAGAAACTAAGGGAGTTCATCACCCCTAGACCTGCCTTACAAGAAATGATAAGGAGAATTTACCATAACAGTGGTGGGTAATCATTTTTAAATTTAGTATAAAAGTTAAAGGACACTAGTGTTAAAAATAACTATAACTGAATTACGTTAGTTATGCTAATATTAATAGATGTAAATTGAGAATCCCTCTTTCCCTTCAGTGCTCCTCAAATGATTGATTTTTAGTCTCCTGTGAGATAAGCTTTCCCAAGAGGCTCACTGTTCAGTCACATCATCTCCTGAGGGACTAACCCCACACATGCTATATACGGTCTGCGTTTTTACATGAGTATAGCTGAGATTAAGTTAAAACCTCTAGTAGTTGTATTTACTTAAATTTTGTTCTGGATTCTCCTTTTCAAATGTAAAAATATTTCAAAAACTAATATGTGGATTCACAGCAGGCTTGTTAAGTCATGTTTTAACCACTGTCTCTATCCTTCTGTAGTTGAATGTGTTAGCAGACTAATTGTGTTAGTGGCCTGAAGGAAGAAATTAAAAATATTTATCTCTTACTTAATAGTGCAATGGGTATGCCTTCTGTGTAAATAATTCCTGTTCAGAACATATGGGAGAAGAAAAGTAAGCATACATTTTCACTACTAATTATTGATCTAAAACAACCTTTTTTTCATTTTTATGTTTCTAGGGATGCTATTCCAAGTATCTAACACATGATTTCTTTAGGTAAAATCTGATGTGAACACAACTCTTTCCAACTGAGAAATGTTTATGTAAATAAAACAATAAAACTATGTGTATATAGAATACCCACACATATAACAATTACTGCATAGTTTTGAGATGTACATAAGGCCCTGTTTGAACATGTATAAAAGTGGAACTATAGGGGCAGCCCAGGTGGCCTAGTGGTTTAGCGCTGCTTTAGGCCTAGGTTGTGATCCTGGAGACCCGGGATCAAGTCCCACATCAGGCTCCCTGCGTGGAGCCTGCTTCTTCCTCTGCCTGTGTCTCTGCCTCTCTGTCTCTCTCTCTCTCTGTGTGTGTGTGTGTCTTTCATGAATAAATAAATAAAATCTTTTTTAAAAAATGGAAATATGGTTATTCTGAATAGAGGATCACCCTAAACTAAAACTTATCTTTCAGTTGCTACTTTCTTTTCAGTTCCTCCTAATTTTTTGTGGCATTAATTTATTTTATTTACCTTGCATGTTTAATTCTTGACAGAAGCAAATGAAGTAATGTAAATGGAAGTATTTCAACAATCTCTTTTTCTTACAAAGATGTGAATTTAAACTAGTTATTTCTTTGAAGCGCCTCTGAGTTATTTGAACATAAAGGCCCCAAGAATTTAATAGGAACTTAATTCCATATTAAAATCTGAAGTAAGAGTCAAGGGAATAAACTCTGAGAGTTGGTGAAATTTCTGGACTGTTTCTTACACACAAAAATTACCCATCACTCTGCACTAATTAGCACTGATAACATCAAAGCCAAAACATTTAAGACTTAAGGACAGTCAGGAGGAGGGATGGGAAAAAGTACATTGTCTTTTGCAGTTGGCTTAAGAAAAGAGGCAGAATGAGCAGTGACAACTGTGAGAAGAAAGGGGGCCCAGAAAGAACCCCTCAGACTAGATAAATTTTTTTTGACAAATAGCCTGCATCTGAGATGTGGACTCAGGTAGTTGAATGGATAGATCCTAATATTTGGGGCTTCTGCATTAGTGGTCTCAATCAGCATCAGCTGAGTACTTGGTGAAACCCAGATCTTGGAAGCATATTCAAATTTATTGAATCAGAAACTCTGGTGTGTAGGCTGAGCAAACTGTTTCTTAAAGGAGCCCTTCAGGTGCTTCTGAATGAAGGCTCAAGTGTGAGAATCACTTCCTTGTGTCATAAATACATCTCGTAAGCAATAGTTTTAGGATAAAATAAAGTAATTTATGTAATTTATTTAGTGCAAGCATGCAATAAAATAAGCATTAGCTATAATTATGGTTAGTCCTTGTTATATCTGTAATCAGCTGACAGAAAAGTCAAGACTGGAAAAGTATATAGGCAAAGACTTTTAGGAGTTAGTGTCCTTATAAACATAATTCAGAGACCTCCGCCTATTGTGACCTGCCTACAAATCAACTGTGGATTGCAAATGCAGATTCTGATTCAGACAGGTCCAGGGCAGGGCCTGAGATTCAATATTTCTAACCAGCTCCCAGGTAGTGCTATTGCTACTAGTCCTGGTACCACACTTTGAGTAGTAACGATCTGTTATATGACACCTTTTACTTCTACTTCACAATTCTTTGTGGCCCCCAAAGCAATATGAAGCAAAAGTTTGTGTATTCCTAAGAAAGCCGAAGAATAGAAGGTGAGTTGCAAGTTGGGACTCTTTGGGGTTCATGTGATCTACTCTCTTGAATTGTATCTTTTGTTTATCTTTCTTTAGGAAACAATTTAATAGTTCTTAGAAAAGAGAGTTTGGGAAGTAACCATAAATTCCTAAAGTTTTATGGTCATTGATTACATAATTTCAAATTGAGACAAATGGTACTGCTAGACTAAATAAAGGTCAGACAGATGTGTCAGATAAGCCATGTATAACTACCACCATGTAGATCTTCCAAACCATCTGGAAGGGTCCATCCTTCAGCTTCACTTAGTAAACCGTACACATTTTATTTTCAAAAACAGCTCCTTTTTTTAGTTTGTTTTAGAAGCTAAGCATAGTTTTAATTGTTGACTCATATCACCAAAGAGAATTTTTTTTAAAAATATTTTTAATTGTGGTCATCCCTTTTTTTCTGCAGTTTTGAAGGTTTTCCAAGAAATAATAGAAGATATGTCTACACTTTAATAAAGAAAGCTGAGTGGTGTTGAGTAAATGGTTCTGTTCTTTAACCAAAACAGTTCAGTGTTTAAAAGTGTAGTATGACCAGAAATAGCACCTCTTATTTACATAGAATCCACTTAATGAAAGACTTTTCACTGTTTCTGGATTCTGCTCTTATAGGTCTGGTAAATTTGTACTTAATTGGATTTGATAGCTCCATCGTGCGTGACTGAAGACAAATTTATAAAGCACAATTTCTAATTCAGTTGAGTTTCCTTGAATTATATGGGTTTATATTAAGGTTGTTATACAAATCTTATAGAATTGGAATTCTATTCATGAAGCCCTTAGTCTAAAGTGGTATAGAATAATAAGAATAAGCTATATTCAAGCTATTTTTTTATAAGAAATAGTCATAAAACAATTATCACAGGAATGCAATATTTACTCAATGTCAGCCTCAGAAACTTTGTTTTTAAATTAAATCCTTGTCTCTCCGGTCAACCTTCTTCTTTGTTGAAGTCACCATTGCCAATAGTCCCAGGCTTCCATATTCTCAATTCTAAGTCCAATAAAAGAGAGTCCCTTTTGCCTGGGTGGCTCAGTGGTTGTTAAGTGTCTGCCTTTGGCTCAGGGTGTGATCCTGGAGTTCTGGTGTTGAGTCCTGCATCGGGCTCCCTGCTTGGAGCCTGCTTCTCCCTCTGCCTATGTCTCTGCCTCTCTATTTCTCTTTGGCTCTCATAAATAAATATTTTTTTTAAAAAAGAGAGTCCCTTTTTCCTAGTTATTATAGGAAAAAGCCTCATTTATTACTGAATTCTATGGCAGATGCAGGGCTAGGGATATGGTGAGTGGGATCTAAAGTCAACCCTGACTCACTGTGGAGGAAATATTCCCTGAAAGGAGGTACCTGAAAAACTGCATTTTTAAAGCTCTTATGAGTAATTACAGAAACTTAAAGGGTAATAAGCACTAGCTAAGCTCTTGCATGGATCAAAAGAATAAAATCTTTTTTGCCAAAAACTTATGTGAGAAAAATCTCGTAATCTCTACAAACTCAAAAAGGGTACTTTGTCCTGTAAGAGAATTTTTAAAAATTTTAATTCCAATATAGTTAAGCATCCAGTGTCATATTAGTTTCAGATGTACAATATAATGATTCAAAGATTCTATACATCACTCGCTGCTCATTAAGTGAGTGATGTATAGAATCTTTTTCACCTATTTCACCCATTAATCTCTTTTACCTATTTCACCCATCCCCCGCACAATTCCCCTCTGGTAACCACCAGTTTGTTCTCTTTCTTTATTGTGTTTCTTACATCTCACATATGAATGAAATCATATGTATTTGTCTTACTGTGACTGACTCATTTAGCATTATACCTTCTACCTCTATCCATGTTGTTGCAAATGGCAAGATTTCATTCCTGGCCTATAATAGATTTTAAACATGCCTCTTAAAACATCAAATAACAGTGTTTGCTTTGGCAGCACATGTACTAAAATTGGAATGATACAGATAAGATTAGCACGGCCCCTGCATAGAGGGATTACACCCAAATCCATGAAGTGTTCCATATATATATATATATATATATATATATATATATATATATATATATTTTTTTTAAGAAAACAACAACTAAAAACCCTATCCAGTTATAATGTCAGTTTTATATACTTTGTAGGCAGGATTTGGTCTGATTGTTTGAATTTTAAAATAATTTGAACTTTTGCTAAGAAAATTAATTTTTTGAATATGGAAACAGTATATTGCCTGTGGTCCTTTTGTAAGTATAGATTTTAATATTTAGTACTTAAGAGGATACTTCTTTTTTTTATCATAATGGAGAGCCCTACTAATAGGTAGGCTTAGTTTTCAATTTCACATTATTACCCCCACAAGGAATAATATGTATATTGGGATCTGTCATGTTTTGACCTCTTCAAAAATTCCATCCAAGACTCTTATCCAAGTACTTGACTATTAAGGGTGCCTTGGTGACTCAGTCAGTTAAGTGACCAATTCTTGATTATGGCTCTAGTCATGATCTCAGAGTCATGCGATCAAGCTACACATTGGGCTTCATGTTCAGTGTAATCTGCTTACCATACACTTTTTCTCTCTTCTTCTGCCCCTCCCCCTGCTCATACTCCCTCTCTCTAAATAAGTAAATAAATAAAACCTTAAAAAAATAGTACTCAACTAACTAGTTTGCTATAGTGTAAATAATAGCTAATATTACACAGACATGATCTATCCTATGTTATTTTTTTTGTTTAGTGGGCCAAGTTATATAGTAGACCTATGTTATCTCAGCATACTTGTTCCTGCTCTCATTAATTACAGTGCTATTATTATTCAGAATTTTAATGGCAAATGTAAAAAAAAAATCTGACTTAAAAGGGGAGTGTATTGACTCGTTTAATGAAAAGTAGATAGGGATGCCTGGGTGGCTCAGCAGTTAGGTTTAGCACCTGCCTTCAGCTCAGGGCATGATCCTGGAGTCCCCAGATGAAGTCCTACATCGGGCTTCCTGCATGGAGCCTGCTTCTTTTTCTGCCTATGTCTCTGCCTCTCTCTCTTTGTGTCTTTCATGAATAAATAAATAAAATCTTAAAAAAAAAAGAAAAAGAAAAGTCATAGATGGAGGTCAGAGAATGGGGTATGTGTGGTTTTATGCACAGCTGGATTTAAGAGCACAGCCTCTGTTGTATGTCCTGGTTCCACTGTTTACTAGCTATGATACTGCACACATTGACAGTTTTCTTAGCTATGTAGTGTGTATAATAATGTCATCTTTCTTTGAATGTTGTGTTAATAGACATGAGGTTCCTAGAATGAGACCTGACAGAGAGAAAACATGCAGTATTATCATAAACAGTCCATTTCCCAATCTTCATTTTCTGGGGAGCTTTCCTCTGTATTGATAACATCATCCTTACCAGCAGGTCAAGGCTTCCATTTTCCCAACATTAAATTCAGCAAAAAAGAAAATATCCCTTTCCTAGTTATTACAATAAAAGCTTCAGGATAACTTTCACCAAACTGACTGGGTTATGGTCAGTCCCCATGGCCAGGAAGCATATGTCCTGCTCTGATAAACTAGCCATCTGTGGGTCACATGCCCATTCTGGGAGCTGAAATCAATCCAGCACAGGGATAGAGTAGGGGCTGGTGGTTTTGCAAGGAAAATTGAAATTCTCTTACCAGCAGGGAAGGAGGTAAATTTGGGGAGGCAGGAATAAATACTATTTTTAAAGTTCTTTGAACTCTGATTCTAACACTTTGGCTACATTGTTGTATTTGTTCTACATTGCTCTGTCTCTTTCTAATTATAAGCATTTACAAAATAGCAATAGGAATAATTACTACTGTAATTTTAATTCACTAACCATGAATGAAATACAGATTCACTAGCAACTAGCATGTAGCTTCTGGTTATCAAAACTGTCTTGCTTGAAAAGCCCTCTCTACTATTTTATTGTTTTGTCTCCTTTAAACAATGAAAGACAAAATAGTCTCTTGAAAATAAGCAAAAACCCAGAATAGTAAAAAACTTCACACAATGTACTCGCTTCACAATTTATAAAAAAATTCTAAATATGCTGGCTTACAGATCCTCTTTATTTTATAACATTATCATTAAAATGTGTCATTTTGATTTGCTTTGCAGTCTAGTGTTTTATTCATCTAAATTCTGTGAAGGGTTTTTTCAAAGTTGCACACATTTTTAGGTTTAAAGTCTCAGGAAAACCAGAAAACCAGAATCAACATGATCTAAGTGTAAACATAAAATATTTTATGTCACCTGCTATTCGTTCATTCAACAAATGTTATAGAAAACCTTTTATTTGTCAGGCAAAGATCTTTGCCTTCATGAAGTTTATAACTAGGCAAGTACAGAGAGACAATAAAAATCTACATCATAAAAAAGCACATTATAATGTAATGTCGGTATAATATAGAATGGGGACAAGGTAGATTTTATTTTAGGTACTCAGTGTGATTTGTTTCAGTCTAAAGCTTTAAGACAACAGGGAAAGACATACAAAAAATGTATTTTGTCTAACTCATTGTTATAGCCCTTTGGTTTATAATAGTTAATAATATTAATGGAGAACTGTGGACTGCTTACACTTTTAGCATGCTTAATTAATAAAATAATTCTAACTGGAGCTATTTCTCAAATATTACTGTTTATTCTACTTAAATGAAACATTTTAGAGATGTTAAATCAAATCCTATAAATAAAATTGAATCCTTCCTCCTTTTTTTAGTAGACCAGATGATTCTCCCTCAGGCTAATTAATGCTTTCCTTGGATGCTCACAGGGCTTCATAAGCACTTCTATTCACTGTGCTCATTGCACTGCACAGTTTGCTTTGTTTCTGTCATGTGTGCATTTCATGGTCATCTGTCTTGCAGGTCAATGCTCCATTCTCCCTTCACTGAGTAGCCAAACTCTCCAGGCACGGTTTTCTAGCACTACATTTCTTTTACTCTAACATCCATAGCAAATCTCTCTGTTGTTTATCCCAGCTGGGTTGATTTTACTTCTTTATTGGGGAAAATGTTATCTTCTCTCTCATGTTCAACTACCTGGAGGTCTATCTCCCTCCAGCTTTCCTATTGACTTGGACCTAGTGGCCAGTATGGTCAATGACTAACACACAGTACTCCTTGTTGGGGAAACACTAGCCTCTAAATTATACTTTTAGACTATTACTCTGGATCATTATTAATACCTGGTCCAAATGCAGAATGACTGAATCTTTATTCTTATCAATGTGCTCTTTATATCTGAGTTCTTCTCTCCTGACTCCTTATCCCCACCTGATCAAGGCTAGTGTTTGAAACTTAAAACCCATAAATAGCATTTATTTGTTCTTTTTGGCCTATTGTATCTCCCTTGCTGTAGATATAAATCTGGAGATGATACATGAAGTAGGAAGACATAGCCAGAAGAAAAGCCCAAAATTATATTTCAGGAAAAATATTCTGATCAACTTCCCTACTAGACATTGAGTTTCTTTTGTAAGTGAAGAATCTTGCCTAGTGGGGAGAGAAACCATGATGTAGTTCAAAGAGGAGGGGTTTAAATACAGAGGTCCTTACATTCATATAAAGTTCTATTTGCAAGCTCTGAGGGTTTGGGCTTTTTAATTTCTTAGCCTCTGTAGTTTCAACATTAGATCACAAAATGATAGCTTTATTCCAAGGTGGTTGTGAGGAATAAGGAAAACATATATATGTAAAGAATAAAATGTAATATTCACTCGTTTTAAAAGGTATGTCATAATTGTTAATATTAAAAGAAAATTCTCTAGTAATAGTTCATTTCATATACATATACACACACTCATATATAATTGTGAGTTTAAATAAAATTGTTTAATGAAGAACAGCATGATGTTGAATAAGTTTTTTAGAAAGTAACTTATCAATCATATATATAGATATTCATTGCATCATTGTTGGTAACAATATAAAAGTTTAATAAATCTAAATATCTATCATTAGGCAAATATTTAAAGACAAGTGACAGATGAATATGCATCATATGATCTAAGCATACCATGAGAACAAATTATCTGCCAGTATGTGTATGCAAATGGATAGAAATAGATCTACTGCATACATAAGTAGTAGTTAATAGTTGCTCTTTCTGGGGATCATAGAAGTTTGGGGTATGGGAAGGTCTTTCACTCTACTTTGTGTTTGTTTTTATTGTTTTAAACTTAATGCATAAAACACATGCTATATTAAATGAATTTCTCCCTCTCCATATAAATTTCATTATCACTGTCATCATTCATAACCCCAGAGGAAGCAAGTGACATGCTCAAACTGGCAGACAGTGAGAAAGGAAATCTGATAATAGTGAGAAAACATTTAATAGTAAGGGATCACTACCACCATTCATGACAGAGTGAGGACAGAGATATTTTAGGAACCCAGGGGAGTGAAAATCCTGTGGGGGAGGCTGTTCTGAGACCTGTGCCTGTTAACACAATTAGACCCAGATGACCCCCAGGGAAAGAACTGGGAAATAAAACACTACCATGCCCTTGACTGCACCAACCTCATTTCTCTCTCCTGCTCCCAGCTGTTGGGGCTCTCCATTGGCTTACGGCTGCCAGGAAGTAAGGACGCCTGCTGAGATGGTCTGCACAGTTAAGTTTCTCAGGTTGGAGACCAGAGTAGAGAAGATGGAAAGAATAGCCACAGAATCAAACAAATGTAATAAATAAGAATTTAAATAAATGTTTATATGTACAGTTGTCCCTTGAACAACATGTGGGTTTGGAAGACGAACCCCGTGCACAGTTAAAAATTCACATATAGGGACGCTTGGGTGCCTCTGTGGTTGAGTGTCTGCCTTCCGCTAGAGTGTGATCCCGGGTCTGGGGATCTCGTCCCCCATCGGGCTCCCAGCAAGGAGCCTGCTTCTCTCTCTGCCTGTGTTTCTGCCTCTCTGTGTGTGCCTCTTATGAATAAATAAAGTCTTTATAAAAATCACATGTATATTTTGACTCCCCTCAAAACTTGACCACTAGTAGCCTACTATTACATGAAGACT